CTTCTAATTATTTTATATTTTAATTTTTGGTAGGAAAAGCAAGCCAGCTCGAGTAATGATTCCACCAAACGACGAATTGATGGAAAGAACGTTGTCGACAGTAGAAATACCGATCATCAGTATGTTGAGCTTAGGCAAAGGGGACTTTGTCTAGTGCCTATGTCTGCATTCATCGATTACTTTCATTGAACACGGACATTATACAAGTTTTTTTTCTATTTTTTCTTTTTTTTGATTTTTTGCTTTATTGTGAGGAAAAAAAAACATATATGTAAACATGTACTTGGTAATAAAAGTGATTACTATTGTATATAGAGTTTTTATGTGATGATCTTGTGTAAGAAGATTTTAAAAATATGTAAAGACTAAAGAATGAAATTTTCTTAAGTTGTGTTAATGTGTGATGTTAGTATGTAGAATTGACTTTCTTGTATATATGTAAGATTGTTGAGGAAAATGGGAGCTATGATTATGATGGTGTTTTTGCATAGAGCAAGACTTTTGTGAAATGCCTTCAAATGATCTATTGATTTGTAGAAGCCTGTTTATTAAGGAACCTTAATTAAGAGCTATTATAATACCCAAAAATTATATATATGTTGATATTAGTGACATGTCACTAATTGCTATGTAAAAAATTATAAACTTTTAATTTTATATGTAAAAAAATTAATATTATGGTTAGAACTTAAAATATGGTGTAATATTTATTTTGATTTTTGACCAAAATATTATCAACATGGATCATGAAAATCAGTCTTTTAATTAATTATAATGAATATCAATGAAAGTATTACAAATATTAATAAAATAATATTTATTTTGACCAAATTATTATCAATATGAATCACGGAAAATCAATCTTGTAATTTATTATAATAACTATCAATGAAAATAATTCAAATACTAATAAATTTATTTAAGTAATTTTTTGATCATATCTTATTTGATCTTATTTGAAAACGTGTATATAGAATCAATTAATGCATATATTTAAAAAGTTAATAAATTTATTTACGTAATCTTTTGATCATATCTTATTTGATCTTATTTGAAAACGTAGATATAGAAACAATTAATGCGTTTATTTAAAAAATTTTCAAAAATAGTTATGCATTAAATGTTTCTTAAATTTTTTGCTACTATTTTTAGTAAATGGTAATTCTTATTATATGTATATATAGATGTGTTCAAATTTAATTAAGGTTGAAAGTTGAAAACCTAGGAAATCGATTAGCCACCAGGCACCATTCCTCCAACATACAGGAAATAGGTAAGACCCTCTCTCCCTCTCCCTCTCCCTCTCCCCAAGCCACCCTCCGCGGTGGCCAAGGCGTAGGTTGGGGAGTTGAGAAGCCGGCGGTACTCGCCGTTTCCGTATTCAGTATCATACGGCTTTAACATTTTTCTATATTTTCGGCTTTCTCTAGGCCATTAGGGATGTCGATGTTGAGGCAGACAATCAGGTAGATATTATTATTATTATTATTTGTTCATTGGTAGATTAGGTTTAAATTCATTGATCATATCACAATTCAGGCTCGCAGCATCTGCGAGGAAGGCACCAATTTCTCTGACACCTTCGCGTCGTCTTTGCTCTACCACTAAGTAATATTTGTGTGTGTGTGTATGTTTTTTTTTCCTTTAATTTTGATGTGGGCTTTTTGTTGGTACTAAATTTTGTCTATGAACTGAAATTGGGTGCACTCTTCATTTCTTAGGGGAGAAGGCATCACCGACGGAGTGTGGACTTTTAGAAGTGTGACCGAGCATCTCATAGCACTTGGCATCATTTATGGTTTATCTGAATGGTAAGTATCTGCGTGCTATGCCTTAATGATTTTCTATGTATGGCTATCTTTCTCTCTACACTAGCTGGGACTTGGACCTGACTCTGAAATGGTTGTGATATGACAGGTTTGATTATGGTGGCAAGTAAGTTCTCTCATTCCTTAGTTCTTCTAGTCCCGTTGTTGCTTACTGTTTGCAGTTGAACATACACGAATTTCAACTATTTCAGCATCTCTAGAAAAATAATTAATATGCCTCAATAATCTCCTTTCAATTTTGACTCGGGGCGTACTCCCATTTGAAATTACTGAAAAATAGTTAATATGCCTCAATAATACTTTCTGAACTTGTATTGCCAGCAGAATGCATCCCATCATTATCAGATCAGCTTGACCTTTTGCGTCAGATATTTTAAAAACAATGCTTAATCAGTTTTCACTTTCATTATTGACCCCTTTTGATGTTTTAGATGTTCCTCTTATTGCTATTTGCTTTATCCATCGCAATATCTTGTTGCAGGAGTTTGCAGAGAGAAAGGAAGAAACTGCGTGATGAAGTAAATAACGAATGGTTTGGCCTAAGATTCTTTATTTTTCTGTTGCCACTGTTTTATCCAAGTGCTTTGAGTTGATGATTGAATCTACGTGAGTTATATATTGCCCTTATTTTTTTTTTATTCTCTCTTATGGTTTGTATTGGATTTAATCATGGGTAAGGAACAATGTTTGGACGCCTAGTGATCCTGTTTTGCAGCTTGTATATTGCTTCCGAGGGATGCTTAATTAATTGTCAGACATGAAAGAGAAATAAAAATGTGTTGGGGCATTGGGAATAGGTTTATTATGAAATTCATAAGCATGTGTTGGGCTCTCGAGTTATTTGCATTGTGGTGTTGCCTGAAATGTTACTGAGTTTCAGTTTTAAAGGAAATGCTATCGATTTTGGGTTGCATCACCAAATCCTTTATTCCAAGTTACAACCGAGGAAAGATGTTGCTTTAAAATTAGTGGAAATTCAATTATTCAGGCAACACGACATTGTTTTCCTTTCCATGCTGCATCATATTGTAAAAAATGAGTTGCTAGTGATTGAAATCCGTTTTGTGCACAAAATGCTTCATACCTTCTTTCGCTTTCCTCGACTCTGTTTTATTTAATTTTATTGTTCTTTGGTAAGAAAGCAAACTTGGTGCTGTAATGACTCATTTTAGTCCATGATTATTGACAGGATGCTTGTAATAGACCTTGAGAAGCAGATGCGTGATTTAAGGTTTGTACTTTTTGAAGAGTCTGATTTTCTTTTTTCCTTGAGTTTTGGTCTTTTCATTTTTCTATTTTTAGATGTTGAATAAATACTCGATTTTTTGATCTTACATCTGGCAAAACTATCGTCTCAAAACTATCATTTAGGATTCATGTGTTTATCGTCTCTATTCAATTTTTGGGTCTAAAGAATTAGGTTGATGCTGAATGTGCTAGTTATATTTATGAGGAGAAAAATCTGTTTTGGTAGCAAGGCATCGCCTACTTTTCGCTTGTAGTACTCAAGTTTCAATTAACCAGTTTTAGTATATTTTATCTTATCCGGCTTTTGACATGAGCTGTGTTATGTGCAACTCAGGTTACAGGCAGAAATGATGAAGAGCAGGAAATAAGCTGTGAATGTTTTGTGGTAGTCGATGTTATCAGTTGTAGAGAATGTTTTGCGGAATGTTTTTAATTTGGAGTATAAAACTATTACTGGTGGCTTTATATGCGTAATCGTGTGACCTTGAAGCATCACGTGTTTCATTCTCTACCTCTCAATATCCATATATTATACGGTTGCAAAGCCGGTTCAATTTTGTTTTTGTTTGTGAATTTAATCTGTTTTGATTACTTTTCCTTTAATTTATCTTACCAAATTGTTTACATGTTTTTAACTTAATATTTTTTTTTCCTTGCATTCAAACTTGATGTTTGGTCTTGAAGTTGTCGATTAGTTAGCGGAAAGTTAAACGCCGACACTAAGTTGAAACATTATCAAATCATAAATCATTATGTTTGGTCCAAATGACTTGCGAATATACAGAGCATCAACCAACAAGAAACAATGGTTTTGATTTGACCACATGAAATCAACCATAGGTACTAACAAAAGATTAGATTGAGGTAACAAATCTCACCTAGATTGTATTTTAACAAATTTCACCTAGATTGTAATACTGAATATTCACTTCATTTGGGATGAGAGTGAACATCTAGAAAACACAATAATATAAACATATAAGAAGGTCCATAACTAAAGCAAGACAGACTGGCAAATGTGCGTTCCAGAAAGGAAAATACAAGGATCCAAATGTTCAAAAAGACCTAATCGTTCAGCCAGCACATAAGATCAAATTAGTAGAGATGGTACATACTAAATATTTTCATACCCCATGATAAAATCATATGTTTTACCAAGTACTGGAATAAAGAACTCCTATCCAAACCAACCCCAAGCTTCATGCCTCCCACTTCCTTTCCTCACCCTTCCTGTTTCCCCACCCTTCATGATTTCTTCTTCCAACCTGAATTGCACATAAAAAAGTCTCATGCGTCAACACTAACATAGTAATGATAAAAAGTACCAAACTAACTGAATAAAGAACTTGACCATCCAAGGTTTTAATCATAGTACAGGACATTATAACACATCATTTCAATATAAACTTAAAATTTCAATGGGATGGATTTGTGACCAAGTTGCTCTCATGTGAGTACTCATGCTTGCTTAGAGTTGACACATTTGTAAAACAAATCTATTGTATTCGAGGTTCAGGTTCAGGTTCAGTTTTCAGCATAGTTAAAGGGCAAAAGCAATCAACATAGTAGTTGTGAAAATAACAAACCGTACACTTCCAAATACCAAACCTAATAGGTTCTAGACCCCCAAGTTATCCCAACAACAACAGATATACAATGCGGCAAAAAAACATGGACAAATTATTAGGAACTGCAGACATACCTCTCAATACCAGCCTCCAATTCCGTCCTGCCAATAATTTATTAACCAACATCAGTCGACAGACAACTAACAAGACCCCAATCAATCTAACTAATTAAGGATGCCCAAGACAAACTATATCATCCAAACATTCAAAGCTAAGATCAACCTTCTTTTCCTAAGGTAGGACAGTTCTTCTGAGCTCTCCTTTCTGCAATAATAGTAACATGACAACTTTATAATTCTATTGAATGAGTGTCAATAAGTGCAACACAATTTCACCTAAAAAAATGTAAGAAATATTTTCATGAAAAGTAAACGGAAGGCACAAGGACACTGACTCACATATCCTTTGTAGCTTCTGAATTCCTTCGTTCCCTGTAATGAGAGAACTCTTACTTAAAATTCTTGGAGGTTAATAAGAAAGAGCAGGAAAATGAATACGAAATGAGTTCACATATAGAATCTGAAATCAACTTCCAAACATACAAGGGTGGCAAATAATTTAGATGAGGTCGGATAAGATTACATACCAACGGCCATCAAAATCCATGCTGTACTCATAACGCGTCCACGGAAAGAAAGAAATAGAGAAAATTAGTCACAACAAAAGAATGGGCCGATGATACGACTATCAAAAATGGAAAAGCAAGATGAACAAAGAGACTAACTACTAAAAGGTCATGTTTGCAAAACTACTCTCACTCACCTGTACATAAAGCAGCAAAGACCAGCAAAAGGCACTCCAAAGCACGGAACAGGATTTCCTACAGAGCATCAAAGAAGATGAAAAATAAACTAAATTAACAACGAGCAAATACAAACACAGACACACACAATTAACAACCAAACTTACTGCGTAAGAAGGAGGTGATAACGGTAGATGTCCTACACCAAAGAAGCACAAATCAAATTAACAAGACAGTTGAAGTATGGATCACAATAGGATATCAACAAAGTAAAAGGAAAAAAAAAGACATTAAACATGTGCAGAATATATTACATGGCAAGGTGAACCATCAATATGTAAATTACCATACCATATCGATCGTCAAAAAGTTCACTTCTTTGTATAAGATTTTACCTGGAAACCACATGTCTGGGCAGATTCACCATGTTCCTGGATTCTGTAAACAGAGGTAAAATCGTGATGAAGCTAAAAATACATATTAAAAGAGTGGGACAAGGATACTAATCAATATTAAAAGGAATAAAAGAAGAAACCTCAGATATATCGCAAGCTTAAAAACCTTTTTCAGAAATAATTATTCAAAATCAAAAGACCTTAATAACATAGAAAAAAATGGATATTTTGATCGCGATTTGCCTCTGTCGTAGCATACGACGTCCTCGGCGGCCGCAAAAGGCCCGGAGATCAGGCGGCAGATGGTGAGATCGAGTGATGCGACGGCGTTTACCGCCGGCTTTCTATATTCCCGGACCTTTGCCTTTCACAATCGATGAACGGCGGACCTCAGAGGGGTCCAAACCGGGCATACGCGGTGGCTTAAAAGAGGATTAGACGGCGGCGGTGTTCTTAAAACTAAAGAGGATGAAATGGAAAAGAAAATTACTCGACGGAAATTTTTACCTCGTTCGTTCGGGAAGGATTAGGAAGAATATTGGATATTGCGAAAGAATTTATAGGTTTCCAAGGTTTTGTGTCCAAAATTCAAAACGGGTTTGGATCGTGCCAGGTGGGTCTACCCAGGATTATTATGTACCACTTCAGCTTGGTTTATAATGTAAGCTAAGGCTACAGTCACTTTTAATTTTATATGTAAACCAAGAAAGCTAATTTAATATTAATTACTAATAGTACAAAGTAACAATTTACTTCAAAAGTTACAAATAAAGTTTTTTTATTGTAAATTTTTGAATACTGATTAAATGTTGCATCTTTTATTTAGAATGGTATCCACCACCTTAACACTCTCTATAATGTTCTTAATACAAAATGGTATGCAATTAATAACTAATAATTTTATTGTTTTTCAATTAAGACTGATTAGAATATTTATTTTTTTGTTATAATAATATATATAATTTTTAAAAAAAATATGTGCAACAATATATACATGCCAAATCGAAGATTACCGAAAAATAATTTATTTGTTATATTCTATAAGAACACTTGATAACAATTAAAAGAAATAATTTTGAAATATAATTTAAATTGACAAAGTGTTTTATAATTTTTAAAATTTTTATTTGAATAAATATCTAAATCTACGTATACTACTCTAAAATAACAAATTTGACGCATTATAAAACAACATAAATTGACATATATGATCCAACAACAGAAATTGATGTATTAAAAAAATAATTGACATTTACTATTAAACAACATAAATTTTACACATGACATATAAAAAAAAAAAACATAAATTAACACATCAAACAAAAGAAATTTGACATGTATGATTATATTGATTTATAAGGGATTAGACAAGAAATTATAAAATTTTTGATCACTCTCATATCAATTTTTATTTGATGAAAACACCAATACGTGAATGGGATACCGATTAGTGATGACTAATTGAAAATAATAAATTCAAAATCAAAGAAGTTGCTGGTCACAGCAACGAAATAAAAAACTTTATATACAATTCAAAGTATCTTAACTAATTCAATAGTTAGCGGCTTTTGCAGATTGGATTTGGAGGTACTCATAAAACCTCATGAACCTGGCAAACTTTTATTGCAGCCAAAAATGAAATTATATATATAATTATTTATTAAAGTATAAGGTGAATATGGTGGTTAATTAGCCACTTGCAAAGCCATCAGGGGAGCTGAATCCTAATCATTTTTAAATTTAGGACTTAATTTGGAACATTCGTTAGATATATTGCAACCTAGCTAGATTCTTAAGTCTTTAGCCCTTGTTTGTTTTGCAGAATTAGGCAAGATATCTCGCCTTAATCCCTCATTTGGTTGAAGGATGGTGTCCCGCTGAAATCCCTTTGGCCCTGGATTAAAACACCTGTAAACATGGACTATTTTTGTCAATGTAATTACACTCCTTACATTTATTTCTTTATAACATTGACAAAATCAAAGCTTACGTGCTGCAGAACAAAAAAGTGAGAAAAAAATAATAAGTGGTTTGATGGGGCCAGGATAATGACAAGGTCGATTGAAATAATTTTCTTTTTAATTTGTAGCTTATTTGGATAATCTAATACAATTATTCATCACATTAATTTATTTTAGACAGGAATTTATCATTCAAAAGTTGCCCGTGGATAACCTTTGAATACATGGTGACAATGTATGATTTCCGATTCACGTCTAAAAAAAAGCCTGATTATCTCAAAAAATTAGATATCCCAAAAATATTGTAGTATTACTTGACCATGCATCATTTAATAAATTCGTATAATTTCTCTCAACAAATAGAGAAATGTGGGTATATATACTTGCTCACTTTGGNTATGGCTTTAAGAAAGGTATAAAAAAGAAAGTTCATATGCATAATTCCAATTATCATCTAAGCCTTTATTTCTAAGTCCAACATGTGCATTAAAGTTGGATAATGAAAGTAACTAATTTGATGGCGACCACTCATTCATAGAATACCATAAGAGTAGCGCAATTAAGCGACCGATTAAACGTCTTAGCAAAAGATGCCGTGCCATTTAACACGCCACTTAATCAAACGTAGTTATGAAAGGCAATTGGATGATTAGTCAGAGGGAGACAATGTTTATTCGACAAGTGTTGATGATTTAACATGGAACATGGTTTGCTTAATTAGGTTAATTAACCCATGCATGCTCACAAGTTTTGAGAAGACAATTGGTGCAATTAGTGTTGACTAATCTTGATGCTCAGTTATGGTGGTTGTAACATATATTTATTTTAGATTTATAAATTAGTCTTGAAATAGAAAATAATAAACTACATGTTAGCTCATGCTTTAGAGTGAAACGATTTGGTAAAACTTGTGTTAGGAATTGAAGGTTGGACAAAGTTTACTTTCAATTTTTAATTTCTATCATACCGAAGTTCATCAAAATCGTCGTTAAAGTTTTCTAATTTTTTTTACCATAATATTGAATGCTACCATAAATTGCGAAAAATAATATGTACGGAAAGCCATTTTCTTGAAAAGTCCATCATCATATCTTTCAATCGTCAATCGAGTATCTCGATCGCTGACATATTACCGGTGAAGGTTTCAATTTTTCCAGCCACCCGACTAGCTGAAAAACTGAAAACTTCGATTTGGGGACCCGATAATTGACAACAAGGAGACATTGTTGGATTCTCAAGTAAAATGGCTTTCTATATATGTAACTAGACGTGACCATTTTCTAGTTATGGGCCCAAAAATATACACAGGCCGGTTCAGTGAACCACCGATTCCGGATTGGCTCGGTTCAATTAAAAAAATAATAATAATAATAATGATTTGATTTATTTTTTTAAAAAAAAAAGCCGAACAACCGATTTGGAATAGGCAGTTAAAAAAACTACAAATATGTGGCCCAGAACCAGCCCTGTAAAACCATGGACTCAGTTCAAGGCCCGTTGACCACGGGTTGGTTTGGGCTGGCCCGTGGCCATGTCTACATGTAACTAACTATCCGGTCGGATTTACATTTGTTCTTCAACTTTTTATATTGACAAGGTTATCTGAATTTTAAATTCTCAACCACATGTCTGCAAACACTTACCATATAATTAATCTCTGTATATCTCTAAGGCATAATTAGATAGCAATCTTAGACCACACAAAAAGACAGAACATAAGAACCTTAATGATTTGGAATTGTGGTGTAGAGTGATGAACTTATTACAAGACTTGCAACATATGATTTACAGTTCCATTTAATCGATTGTAAACTCAAAAGGATAAACAAATCATTTCTCGTAACAATTTGATGTTAATTTCGGAACTTTAAGTTGNAAAAAACATAACACTGCAGTTAACCATGATAGAAAGAGCAAGTCATTTTCAACTGTCGTGTAATAAACATAATACTCGTTACAAATTCAGAGCAAGAGCTTTTACCAGCTATCACCATTGCCTCCTCAGCACAACTATCTTTGTATGGAGAGATGAAGGCCAGCTATGATTGCGGCCAACTGTAGCTCCAATAGTGCCGAATATCTTGGGAACGATTATAGTATTTTCACGAGTTGGTATGGAAAGAATCTCATCCATCTGAACAGATTATAAAACGCTATACGGTAAGAATTTCCTTTGGCCTGGGCATGACTCGAGAGAGAAAACATTAAGCCATGAATTATCTTCATCCGTAATTTGAAACAAACACAAAATGTGTACTTTCAACATCAGCAAAAGTGATTTCAGAGGCCGATATAAAGTACAAAATGGGTAGTTCAGGTTAAGTGAAGTGCACATTTCCCCCATTTTTTTACGTGACCATGAACCACAGTCTTGAAAAGTAACTGAATGTGCAACAGCATTTAGAGATAACATAAAACTCTTACATCAACAGGCTTTTTCCAGCCCACAACTGCTACCACAGAATTATGCTCGCTCGTGATTTTTAACAACTTGGCTGACATATATCTAAACAGAAAAGAACTCAGTGAGACATAAAGATGCCAGGCGTGTAAATAGGAACTTTCTTCAGATATACGATACAGACGAAAGCAATAAAGAATTCATAAAAAGAATAATCGAAGCTCAAGTTGAAGAATGCTAAATGTCATAGGATCGAACTTCCGAATGCAAGAAAATTGCACATGGTTAAGAATGGTCACAATCAAGAAATCACTGACAACATATGCTATAAGTTATATGGAAAACTTAAGCATGTTCAAAATATGGGTGATATAGAATAGAGTAGCCCTAAAGAGAGATTTGCTCTGGCTATTTTTCCTAAGTTATACAGAAACCCAAAAAAATACAGCTCAATCAACGGATTCAAATAAGAAAACCAACACACTTCACACAAAACCCCAAAAATATGAAGCTCAATCAATGGATTCAAACAAGAAAATCAAAAACCCAAATGCTCAGCAAAACCTTGAAGCCCAATTTTCCAGAACTACAACAGTATAATAATTCGAGCATCAATGAGATACAACCAGGAAACAAAGGCAATACAAAAACCCCAAAATGGTAACCTGCGTGAGCTTAGCCAAAGATTAAATTAATAACCGGAAAAAAAAAAAAGCACCAAACAAGCACAAAAATGAAACTTAGATACAGAGACCAAAGGCGAACCAGTTGACGGAATGGAAGAGATAGGAAAATTTGAGGGAGACAAAAGCTCCGATAGAATAATCTGCCATCGGAGCTCGAAATGCCGGTTTTCATGGGAATACATTTCCCCTCTTAAAATCATGTTTCGTTTAGTTGGATTTTTCGTGTATAATTGTTAGGTCATTGAACACGAATCATTTATTAATAGAAACATGATTTTAAAATAGAAAATCTCAGCCAGTAGTTGGGTGCCTCATTTAGTCAATTTTGAAACAGTACCAATGATTTATGTACAAGAGTCTGTTCCATGTACGAATCTTGTATTATGTCAAGAGCTGTAAACAAGCGGAGCTTGACCTTTAGGTTCGGGCTTGAGCTTTTGTTGTGATGAATCGAGCTCGGATCCGTAGCTAATCTAATTGATTAATGGGTTTGAGCCTGATTCGTTTATCAAAACTAACCATCGGAGCTCGTGTTCGTGATATATTTGAGCTTGGACTTGAGCTTTTATTGAAATGAATCGAGGTTATTCACTCGTTAACTAATCCAGTCGATAAACAAGCTTGAGCTGATCCGTTTATCAAATCTAACCAACGGAGCTCAAACCATAATGAGTTTATCTAAGAAGATAATCAGAAAATCACGCAAGAACTTCTACTTTCTCGAGCTTAATAACAAGTATCAGCTTGATAACCAAACAAGTTCGAACTTAAACTCGTTTATCAAGCGTGTTGAGCTGAACCCAACATGAGTTGAATTCATATAGTTCAATTCGTTTAACTAACTCTAATTGTGTCTGTAATTAGTCGTGCAAATGTGGCTCAATTTGTAGTCTATGCATATAATTTTTTGGACACCATTTCAACTCAAGAAGATGGTGTTTTTTATTTTTTACACAAGATGTTTCAGTTTGAGTGACAAGATAAAGAATTCCATTAAATTTTTATTGTAATGCTAAGTATTTATTTCATGCACTTGGAAACTTGACTTTGAATCATATATCTAAATACTACATTATGCAAATCAAAACTTTTCAAGATCAACAAAATGATTATTCATTGAGTGACAAACCACATGGCCAAGAAAAGACTATATAAGTATAACAAACATACATCAATTACAAACATTTAGTTACGTACAACCTCAACAATTAATCAATTAGCTAGTCAACCAGGAATATTGGTGGTGAGGAAGATTGGGCACTGTCCTCTATAGATATCTCAGTAACATCGTCGAGGGATCCATTGGTTATGGCTACCGGCCTTTCTAAGCCACACAACAACATTTGCTTCTCAAGATGCTCACAATAGCTTTCGAAAACCCGAGGGCTCACCGAGACTCCAAAATCTAAAAGGAAAAGCAACTCCAACTCGAGCTTGTTTAGTTCAGTATTGCTTATTCCTCCAACTCGCGCGTAAAATGCATTGTTGTAGTGCCTGTCGTAAAAATAATGGCTAAAATGAAGAATGCCAGAATATAATAGAATTTAGTTAATTTAATCAACACCATATGTATTTCGTTCTGGAAAAACTATCTCATAATCAATAAATTTCATCCGTGGATCCGATGATCGATCATTGGTGCAGAAATCATCACTTGAATCATAATTGTCATTTTCAATAAATTAAAATCCACTAGATTTCAAGATTTAACTAATTAATAGCATCACATCAAAAAATGTAATTAATCCACTATGCATAAACTATAAATCATTAAATTGCCAAAGTAAAAATAAATTATAATGAGAAGAGAGAAGCTGTACATATCATCAAGAATCTTGGAGGCCACCATGACGCCGGTGATGAGCAGCCGGTGAACGTTGAGTGATGCCACCGGCGAGTCCGGGAACCGGTGAAGGAGCCGGTCAATGTACACAAACCCCACCACGAAGCACGACGGGCTGCAACCCGTGTACTTGTATATCCTCTCCACGTACTTCTCAAGGCTGATTGCCGGCGGCCGAACTCCGTCGAACGGACTCAGCCTACCGCCGGCGGCGCCGGCGGAGAGCTGGTCGTTCCGGGCGACCAGCTTCTCGAGCACGCGGGACACGACGGTCAGGACCCGGGGCGTCGCGGACGGGTCGTGCTGGCCCGGATCCGGCAGCTGGGGTCCGGCGGCTAACATCTAAGGTTGCATTGTGCGGCGGCGCCGGCGCGGTGGTGGGTGGGGTGGGGGGCATGCTTTTCTCTGTTGGTTTTTTTATTGATAGTGTTTTGGGCTTTGGGTTGCGGTTGTCTTATCTCCGGGGGATTGGTCGAGAGACACGTGGCGCCTCCATATGCCTTTCAATTACATTTTTGATAGAAACGGATAAAATTTCATTCTTTTGCATATTGTGTTGTCCAAATATTCGGGTATAATAATGCAGATTCTTTTACAAAAAATTATTTAATGTAATTTCTTTGGATAGTGGAGGTATAATTGCTTGTCTTTGAGCTGAGGAGCGGCTGGAATTTGGTCAAAGTTAGACCTGAATCTAATGTCAGGTCGGGTTGGAATGTACTAGAAAAATTCAATTACATAATTCGATCATCACCAGACACATTTACCCATAAGGATATATAATTATATTTTTATAATATATTGCTAATATATATTTAAATTTGAAGTTTGTTATAAATATAAAAATAGTTATCATAGGTATGAATATGAAAAACTCGAGATGATTTATCATTTGTTGGTTAATGGTTATTTTTTATTAAATGCATTAGTTATCAACTTTTTGTTGTAATTGTATCATAGAATGAGTTAGTCTAACTATGTGTGTGGCATACGTTAATTTCGTTGATATAAAATTTCTTTGATATAAAATTGAATGAGAAGGCAAGGAAGGAAGAGCAATAGGATGATCTATCTCCTAAGTCCGAATGAGCTCTTGTATTTTACTTCTTTATTTTGTTTATTTTCTTCGGTACGGACTACAGAATATCTCGATTTTTTAGTATAAAGTATAAACATTGTCAAATCTTCGGAATTGTCTTACGTGCTTGTTTGGGAGCATTTTGCAAAAGTTCATTTAAGAAATGAACTTATTCAAAATGAACTTTTTCAAAAGTTTCAATGATTTACTTGTATAGGATGAAATTTTTTAGAAACAACTTATCTACAACTTTATTCTTAATTAAACATCAAACATAAATATTTATTTAAATTGACTTTTGCACTCAAAATTCTATTTGAGAAGTGTTTACAAACACATTTATTTAGTCTATTCATTTGGAAAAGTCAAACAATCAATGAACATTTTGTTTGAGAGTGATTTTGTTTGGTTTTAAAAATTTCTCTATTTTTCTACGTATATATGTTCAATTGAACATGTGAGAAATGCCATTACAAATAAAAAAAAATAGATCAACACAATCCTTGTGACGTGGCACTAGATGTGGATTTAAAAAAAATTCCTTTTTTCTCGCATGGAAATTATCACCGAGCGAGTCACAAGCCTGAGTTGTTTTGCCTAATTTTTCCTTTTCCACATCAGCACAAAATTCCTCAGTTGCATCGTATATATACATAATGAACATGATTAGGAAAAAAAAAATCAAAAGCTCTTATCAAATTTCAGTAAATAAATAATATACATATACATACAGTAGTATATGAATAAGCCAGAATTTCTTTAAGGAAAAAAAAACCTACATTTATGTTTGATTACATAATTAATTCAAATAAGTAAACATTATCATTTTTTTTTTGTCTTCCAATAGAATTTCAGTAAACAATATACTATTATTTTTTTATGATTTTAACACGATACAAAAATGGGTGAGCCAGTGTGTGAGTTTTGCGGCGTGGCGAAGGCCGTCGTCTACTGCAAATCCGACTCCGCCGCTCTCTGCCTCCAGTGCGACGGCTACATCCACTCGGCCAACGCACTCTCCCGACGCCACGCCAGATCCCTCCTCTGCGACACCTGCGCCTCCCGGGCCGCCGCCGTCCGGTGCCTCGACGGCGGCCTCTCCCTCTGCCACGCGTGCTCCGCGGCCTCCACCGCCGCCGCCGATCGACGCCGTCGAGTTGATTTGGGGATCTACGACGGGTGCCCTTCACAGTCAGATCTCTCCAAATTGTGGCCGATGGTGTTCGACGGCTGCGCTTCGGAGCTTGCGATGAATTCGGCATTATCTGTATCGGGTGGTGGAGTGGCGTCGAACGTGAAATTCGGGCCGTGGGCCGTTGTTCCGCCGGCGCCGCCTCTACAGCCGCCTCAGGTTTCGTTGTCGTGCGGTGGGAATCAGAAGTTGTCGCGTGCATTTGGCCGAGATCAATTGTCTTTCTTGTCCCAAGGCTCACCACTTGAACAGGTAGCCCAAAAATGTCGCTGAAAATATATTCACAAAAGCCTAAATTGCATTTTTAATCTTGTTGTTTAACGTCATAGAAATTTTAATCCTAGAATTCTAACATTTCATCTTTTGGTCTTGTGATTTAATAATTTTTTGCAATTTCATCCCAAATTTATATCTTTGAGATGAATTTTTGATTAGCAATTTAAGTCCGTAATTTAAAATTATATTGTAATTGCAGTCCTCAAAAAAATTGCAGCAAAATATGAAATCGCATAACAAAAATATGAAAAGTTGAAACTTTGTGACTAAATTTACTATGTCGCTAAACCAACAGGACTAAAAATACATTTTTTCCTTCATAAAACATCTTTTCTTGTGATTTGACATGCATTATGTGTGAAGGACCTCGGGACTCGAGAAACCGAAGGTCTTCACGACATGGATGGGATAGGCCTAAGCTTTGAGAGCAGTTACGACATTTTCGGTAACAATTTGACAAGTCACCCGAATTCAAACCGTGAAGACGAAGGAATTGCAAGCATACTCTTGGAGAATAACATGTCGGTATCGAAACCTAATAGCACTCACATCGAAAGTCCTTTAGAGGTTGCTTCTTTAATCTCATAACCACTTCTGCGCATGCACAATTTTCAAACCAATAATTGTGGTAATGTCGAATGATGAAATGTATCTATCTTTGTAATTTTAGGTATCCTCAACTTTCCCACCTCCTATATTGATGAATCCGAGTGCTAGCCTTGGGTTCACGAGCGGTCAACTACAGTCTCCCCTGTCTCTTGCGATATCAAGCATAACGGGCGAGAGTAATGCATCTGAATATCAAGATTGTGGGCTCTCTCCTTTGTTCCTAACGGGCGAGTCTCCTTGGGACTCGAATCTCGAGCCTTGTTGCCCACAGGCGAGACATAAGGCCAAGATGAGATACAATGAGAAGAAGAAAACGAGAACGTACGTGCTCCCTGTTTATGCGGGTCGATGTATATGTTTTTTCATTTTGTTGTGTGAAAACTTATGCTTTACTTTACATTTGGTAAAATGTAGGTTCGGGAAACAAATCCGGTATGCTTCGCGTAAAGCAAGGGCTGATTCAAGAAAGCGCATCAAGGGTAGATTCGTCAAAGCCGGTGAATTTTTGGAGCATGACGAGCCCGGTGGATCGGGAACAAGGGATTTCTAAGCCAAACCCGGCATGCTATTTTTTGCTCGTTTGTTCAAGCACTTTTTTTTTTTTTCCCCTTGTCATAAAGGTACAAATATAGTCTTCTGAACAAAGACATGATTTTTTGCTTCACAGAGTTTGTATTTTGTATCTTTGTATATTTTTATTTCATTCGGTCGACAAGCAGACATAAGAGATGCCAGGCCTTTGAGAATGGGCTGCTAACTTGTGTAAGAAGCTTGTCTGATCTCAGGTGAGTTTATATGCTTTCTTGTTTTAAAATAATTTCTTATTTAATGATCAAATTCCTAGTTTTTTGCTTCTTCTTTTTTTTTTTTTCCCCTTTTCTTGTTTATTTTTGTAGACATTTGTGTTTCAAGATGTATAATCGTTATCTTAGCTGAACGTGATCTGTGTTCTTGAAGGGAATTGGAGCCGACATACGGAGAGCTTCTTGTTACCCTCCTTGCAAACTGCTCAATATTTTNAAACATTTTCACAAGGGATTGATAGGTACCTGTAGCTCAGCATAAAGGATTGAAGTTAAAAGGAAAATGTACACGGTGCACGGGTGTACAATTCTATATAACTCACCCTTTAACTATATACCTAGTACAGAGCCCGTGTGATGCACGAGGTGTACAATTTTAAGGCTATTTATCCAAGTTTATAATTATATACATGAATAAAGAAAAATGTACGGGATATATATAGTACGTGACCCGTGCGAAGCACGGAATATATTTATTTGGAGAATATTATATTATAAGATGCAATATTCAATAAAAGTTTATAATACGCAAGAAAATTGTATAATACGCAAGAAAATTGTACAATGTTCAATAAAAGTTTTATAATATTCAAATGTAGTCTTAAAGTCTCTTATACATTAAGACTACTAACAAAATAATATTTTAATCAATGAGTTTCCTTTCCTTGTAGCCAAATTGTGAATGTGATTTGAGGAGTACAACAAATCGATATATAGCTGACTCGCTTTTTTCATTGTAGTTTTTTTTTCTTTTTTTTTATAATGAATTTAAAGATATTTTAAAATATAGCAAAAATTAATTTTATTATTACAATTAGGAATTTTACTAAATATAGACTCTCAATCTATGGTGTTAATCAACGTTTAAGTCTAAAAAAAATAGAAATTTTTACCTCTTTTAATCAACATTTAAGTCTAAAAAACAATAGAGTTATTATAAGTTTTTTTCTATATCTTTTAAAACATTAAATATGAGCATGTTAGGGTTAGCTTGTAAAATAATTAATATATTATCTCACTAAAATATTTATACTAATAAAAATTATATGATTTTTTTATTTTTTACAATATGGATTTAATATTTTTTTATGATTTGATAATATAAACAAATCTATACTTCACTTTGACAAATAAAACAAATAAATACTTTAGTAAGTATTTAATGTATATACTAAATAGGAATATATTTGGTATAATCAAATACCAAATATAATCAAATAAGTCAAAGTGTACATTTTTATTTGGTATTTGATTTTTTTATTATTAAAATCTTTTTATTATACTTACCTTTTTAAAATAAAACAAATAAATAAATCAATTAAATAAATAAAATATTATAATACCAAAATAGTAATGACATTTAATGCAGTTGACTTTTCTGGACAGTAAATGTAGTAAATAGAATTTACTTTTATATAAGTATAGATATGATATTATATTATATTGCTCAAAATAGTAATGCATTTATTGCATTGACTTTTCAACTTACTAAATTTCGTAAATGGTACCTCTTATTAGAGCATCTCCAATACTCCACTTTGAATATTAATTAAATTTGAACACATGTCAAATGATGAATGGAATGTAAATCCATGTAATATGAATGTCAAAAGAGAAGACTTTAATTTGGAATACACATCTCCAATGCATCCCTTTCAAAAGATTAAAATAGGTTAGATTTTTAATGAATTAGCTTTCAAACACTCTTTGGAAAACTAGAAAGTGAGCTTCACACTTTGGATATTTATTGTCTCCATGTCAGCATAAAAGAGTCCATAACATTATGGATTGGAGAGTAATTTTTGTAATCACTTTATAACTTGATGATGTGGCTAACATTTTATTAACTCAACATCACACATTGGTGATGCTCTTATNT